TTCTCTCAAATCTGGCAACAGAGTGGGCAGGGCGCAGTGTCTAATTGTAGCAGTAAGCTAACGAGTACTGATAAGCTTTATTTTGTTTTGATCCAATGCTGCACAACTGAACTGATCCAATGCTGCTGTGAAAAAAATAAGCTATATCCATGTTGGATAGAATATCCAATTTAAATAAAAAAATAACCTTAAGGAACAACTTGAATGCTATTTTTCTTTTTTTTTGTCTTAATGCATTGCATAAAGATCGGATCGGGAAAAATCGGTATCGGCAAATTGTCAAAATCAAATGATCGGAATCGGATCGGGAGCAAAAAAAGGTGATCAGGACATCCCTAGCTGTCGTGTTTGTGTGACAGACAGATAGCACAGTGTACTGCATGCATATGTGTGTATCTCATGCAAGCATAAGAGAGGGTGTGTGTGGGTATAAAGCAGGAAGAGAGGAACAGACAGTGAATGCAGCATGGCTCAGGGGGATACTGAGAGGGAGAGGAGCTTACCGTATACCCTGTTAATGCCTCTGTGACAGGACTTTCATTTAGAGAGGGTGTAAGCTCCCTTGTGGGTGCCATGTGTTAAGGTCAACACAGTCCCTTTTGTACACAACCTGCCCTCTATGTGTCTCTCTTTCCTGCCTCAAGTGGCTGGCATATACACAGCAAGGATCCACAAAGGGCTGTTTCAAAAGAGCTGCACTAATCCGTCTCATTTCATTTTACCCTGATCAATGTAAAGAGAAGAATCCATCATGCCTGTCAGAGATGTATCAATGGAGCATGTGAAATGGTTATAATGCCTTATGGTTATATGAATCACATTCATATCCTTTACGTGAAGGTAATGCGTATGAATCTAAACCTGAGCTGCAGAGGTTTCAATGTGTATTGGTTTGATAGCATGTGTGTGTCTTGGTGTCAATTTTACGCTTTCTAGGCAATTCCCTAACAGACAATTGCTATATGCATACTCCGACTCTCCTTCATGCCCTCCATGTAATGTGGTGGGTCAGTCCACCACTATAAGACGTCTTCCATACGAGAGGAGACTTTCAATTGGATTTCTATTGCAAACATACAACATGCTTTACTGTAACATTAAAACATCTTTAAGATGTTCATTAAATCCCACACTCTGTTTGTATTTTTTCAGCAATAACCGCACAGTGTATTTATGCACTATATAATGTATTTTGCTTGACTTGCTTAATATGCACGCAGAGGGGGTTCACAGGAAACATGCAATCCAGCATTACCATATGAAATGTTATCTTACATTCCAGTCTTTATGTATTCAACTGGTAAAACATGGGGTGGATTTCTTCGCGATGCATTCTCAGGAAATGCACTGTATTTGTCATATTGTGTCACTATACAAAAGGGGAAACTGGCATACATTTGAAATATTTCACGGATAATATGATACAGTTCTTTTGACTGTAAAACTACTCATGCCATGGAATCGAGTCATTGTTGCAGTACTTTAATGACTTACTTATTCCTTCGATACACACCACTTGTTCTCTCTTCTGTATATCTAGGTACCTGTTTGCTCTTCAACTGTTGTTACCATGGGTACCAAAAGGGTTGCCAAATCAATTAAACAACTTGTGATCTTGTGATTATAGTAACAAGTGTTTCACCTTGTATCAGAAAAATAAAAATTATTCTAATCTAACTCTACATAAAATCGTGTTACAATAGGAGTGGTGGGACTTTCACATTGATTAGACCTTCGGTCCAAAGTTGTATAAAGTCTTGTTCAGATATTATCTAAGAGAAATACTGTAGTGATATTACAGAATGTGGCTCCACAAATAGAACCCGTTGGCGTCTGGTTGAGGCAACCGATGCATAACATTTTTTACTGAAAAAGGGAAAATATAAATTCAGCTAGATGCCCTTATTCATGCTACTTTGATTTCAATTTCATATCTATCATTCCTCCTGGACTGGCCCCATGGTAAGTGCTGGTGTGATTTCTTTCAAGCTACAGTCAAAACAGTTTTTCATCCATCAAACCTTTTTTTTTGTATTTAACAATACAATGTATATTGTATAGATTTCTCATATTTGAAAGTTCAAGCTTTTTATAGCGTCATAGGGATCCCTGTGTCACCACAAATCCTCTCATTATAACACCCAGCAGACATTTCAACCTTTGAAGTGAAAACTTTTAGAATCCTTTCTGCTCAGTTATTCTACGTGTAAAGGCAGCCACGGCAGAGATGTGGGTATAAACTGCAATATGATTCAGAGGTTGCAGAAGATTGCACTATCCCACTACGGCTACACTTGAGACTTGAAGTTTCCCAGGGCAGGCAGAGAGAAAGGAAGAGACAGAGTGTAGGGCCTATAAGGGTGCTGGTGCTGGTCCTCTGTTGTCTTTGTTTAATTTTCTTTTTTTCTTTTAAACTACATGAAAGTCAGAGAGAATAAACATGTTGGGTTTGTCCTTTATAATTCCCCTTTGCCTACAGTATCTGAAAACAGTATTCTGTACTCACTGTACATTCAATTGGAGGTTGTGCTCTGTAGAACTGTCACAGTCTCATCAAATACCCCTCCCAACGAAAAAGAAAGGTAAAAATCCCACTGAGGACCCAGAGGGGGTCAATAGAATGGGAGGTCGGGGGATATGTGATGCTGGTAAACCCCTGATATGTCCATACCGCCAAGCTTCTGCCCCTGGATTGAAATGTTAAATGTGTTGCTCAACTCTTTCCTTGCTTCATTTTATATCATTACGCCTTACCACATCTTACAGAACATAATTTAAATAAGCTATTTTCTTTAGTTGAACCAACATTTATACATCTCAAAAGAAAAGCATATTATCACCTGCATCAAACTGTCCTCGTCTGTTGCACTTCAAAATGACTGCAACATTTTGAGATGTGTTACAATTTTTGCAAACAGTTATTAAACCATTATTATTATTATTACCTTATGTACATCCTTACAAAGGATACAAGCATTACATTGAGAAAGAGCTTTTCCACTACATTTGTTTATAAAATAATTCAAAATAAAAAAATGTAGATACAAAATAGATCGATACGCTTACTGTTTTACAATGTGCGGAGAATAATAATGACCTTGTAATGATGTAATTGTTATCCTATAATGTAGAACCAACCTGACCTGACCTCCAAACTACAGGCGAAAGAGCAAGATTGAAGCAATTTAGCCCATTTACCCTGCGATTTCAACATTCACTTAATATGCATTTAGGTTTGATAGTTTCAATGCAAATGAGAAGCTTTGGTCGCCTCAGGAAATCTTCACAGTTTCTCTGGGATCTCCCACTGCACTGCAACAACGTTAGCTGCCACACACTGACACGTCCTCTAAACGTCCTTGTGTACCTGCTGCTTCCTGGTCTCATCCCGCTGCATGCATACCCTCTCAGAATACAGTAAAGGTTCTGGAACATTCAGATAAGGATTGTAATTTTGCCAGCCCTTGCACTTTGTGTCCACCACTAATGCCTACTAGTGTAAATAATTATAAAGCTACCTTGCGATTACTCGCGCCATGGCTTTATAATTAGTTTCTCTCTCCTCTCCCTCTCTCTCTCATTTCACTGAAGTGGAGGCTGAGAGCGTATAGGTCTGTGTTATTATAATTATACAAACTCCAGTTAATGTGAATCCATAGACTGTTTTAAAGAAATCATTCAGCCCATTGTGACAAAGAGCAAAACTCATACCTGTGATTGATCTGTTGAATCATTTTCAGAGTGCAAAGAACCGTGAAAATCCTTTTATGCCTAAATTAAAACGTGACTTAACCATTACTGCTGTAATGAAAACAATTAATTGATAATCACTTCAGGCATGTAGTCAATATTTTTCAATGAACAATGAGTCAACTTTGTTTATTGTCAAAGGTGAAAAATCAAAACTTATCAACCAACTCTGCAGTTCTCCTCTGCTTATGTATTGATACAGCACTTTGGATTGGTTTAACAGAGCGTTTAAGTGTATTTTAAAAACTTCAATCTTCAACCTTTTTTCCAACAACTGAAAACAACCGTTTTCATCGAAACATTGATAGAAACATTTAATAAAAACTCATTATACCCACTATGTGGGCAGAACCATACTGTATGGCAGACGCAGTTAGCTAACAGTAAACATACTAAAAGTTAGCATTTTGAAGCTAAAGGAACATTTCTGTTCCTCAGTAAATGCTAGAGACAAAAAACAGACTTACATTTTCCGCAAAATACTGGGCTTTTCACAATACAGGGTTTTTTGCAAACTGAATTAGAAGCACAATGCGGTAAAATATATATAACATTTAAAAAACAATGGTAATATATCTACTGTATCGCTGCAAGCATAAAACAAATAATTTGGGAATTTAGTTTTATGGAGAAACACAAGGCACTACATGTATATCCTGGAAATGTGGAGGATGAATTAATTTAAATGAATGCTGAAGAGGTATTGTACACATTAAGCTTTAGAAATGTAGGGTTTGGAATATCTGTTGATGTCTTTAAACCTTTAAGTTAGAAACAATTATTTACACATTAAACATTGATTTCCAATTGCTAACTTGGAGTGCAAATTGAATATAATAAAAATATAGAATCATGTGCCATGTTTCATATTTTTATTCATACTAAACAGTGATGGTAATACATGAATAAACTGTGCAGAACAAACAAAATAAACACTTGAAGTGGCATTTAGCTTCTGCTGTTTGAAATTGATCAGTGAAAGGTCAGAAATCTCTTCTGGAAAACTCGTTTCTATAACACTAGGTCGGAAAGTAGTCTTTTAATGGTTTTATCACGGCTACCTTACAATTTCTGCTCGGTGTTCCTCCTCCTCTCTAAGATTATTGTTAATCATGTTTCTTCAAAATTCAAATCAACATACAATATAGAGAAAACACTATTCATATAGCAGACTGAAGTCATTCCTTTCTTTCCTTCTTGAAGACTGTTGCTGTCAAGACTTGACATCTATTTGTCATCCTCATTCACAGCCGAATCAAGCTTCATATAAACCCTTTGCTCAACACTGCCAAACGGAGAGCGCAGGAGGTTGACTTCAGCGCGGCGATGATGAGGATGCGGGTATGGAAGTGCTTCTGGGAGGCACTCAGAGAGATGAGTCATCAGCCTTGGCTCAGTGACCAGGCTGCCTGCAGTCAGACCTGGATCACTTTCCCTCCATCAGCAGGATGTTAAGAGCCAAAACCCCGAGTGGTCTGCAAAGTGAGGTCTGAACGGGG